AATACGTCCACAGGAGGCGGGGCAGTGGGGGGGAGCCGGTCAGCGAAGATGACGTGGTGCGTGTGGTGGAAAGGGTTTCCAGGACGCGAGAAGCGAAGCATCAGCTGCCGATGTCCAAAGCACCAAACTGCTGAAGGGGCGGTGTGGGGGAAGGGAGGGAGGGAGAGAGGGGGGAGGGGAGGGATGGGGGGGCCTGCCTGCCTGTAGGTCCGTCCATACGTACGTACGTCCGTACGTTGGCGTGCCGCTTCAAACCCCGTCCCGCCCGCCCGCCCAACCGCCTCTGATTTCAGGTCCGTGCCATCCGCAAGTTGAGAGTGCTGGGAGGCGGATTCGATCTGGTGACCATCGGCGGCAGCCAGTACGTGCGCTCCGTGCCGGGCGAGCTGAACCTTGACAAGAACCGGGCCCTGGAGGTGGCGCAGGTGTGCGTCGCGAGGAAGGAACGGCGGCGCGGTGTGGGTTGGGGGTCGTGGGGATGGGTAGTTGGCACTCCCCCAAAACAGTGAGGTACTACTGCTACTACTATTACTAGTATTATTTCCATGCCGCAGTTGAGCTGGCTGCCAGAGCAAAAAATAGCTGAATGGGCGCCGTGTGTGTTCGTGACACGGTGGGAGCGTTTTGCTTTAGGGGTAGTGAAAATGGTAAAAGGGGGTTTGGGCCCCCTTCAAGGGGTTTTCGGATAACCCCCATACTACGGCTCCTGCGCCACGCCACGCCACGCCACGCCACGCCCGGGGACACACCCTTGTGTGTCCCAACTCCCCCGCCTCCAAACTGAATGAGCTCTCTCTACCCTTAACCAACCACTGACCACAAAGGGCAAGGGTTTCACCTCTGTCGCGGAGATGTGCAAGACGGCGGGGTGGCCCGCGGGCCGGGCGGAGGACGTGTTGCAGGTGCGGGTGTGATGCTGGGTGGATGCCCGTCGCTCGGGAAGGGAAGGGCGGGTGGTCGTGTGTGTGAGTCGAAGGTGTTTAGGTGCGCGTGGTTAAGGGGCGAATGAACACGGGAAAACAAGGGGGGGGGTCGGGAGAGTAGCGAGAGAGCCGGGAAGCGGTGGGAGCAACCCCACCGAGAGTGGGGCCCGGCGGAGTTGCGGGGTAGAGGTTAGCATGGGGATGTTTGTGATGTGCCAAGAAACCGGCTCCAGCCCTGTATCCAGTATCCACGTACACGACCAGACATTCAGTGTTGTCTTTACTACCTGCCCCCGGATTTTACAACTCCAAATTCCCAACTGCCAACTGTCAACCGTCCCAACTGCGGCCCCCCCCTACACGTGGCCACCTTTACGCGATGTAGGCTCTCACCGGCGAGGGCATTGCCTGGGTGGACGACGGCGCCCCTGACGGGGTCCGGCTGTTCTGGTTTCCTTGCCTCGGAGGTGGCTTAGACCAGGCGGCATGAGAGCTTCGTAGGGGATTTTATTAGTCGTACAGGAACAGTTGTACAGCCATTGCGCGAAGGCCGTGCATGGTTTTTTCGTCGGAATGATACGAGTGCGCGCTCTGAAGGCACTGACACGTAGAAGAAAAGAACGATGTTTGTCTGTGTATCACAGATTTTGTCTGTGTATTTATGTATCTGTACGTGTGCACTGTTCACTGGAGGACAGCAAGTGCGGCGTTTTCGTGTTATGCTGTTGCGAAACCCGGAGCACTGACGCAAGTCGTGTGGGGCAGCATGATGTGGGAACGGGAAAGTAACCCAGTGAGGGAGGGCGTTATGAGAGACATGTCAAAAAGAGGTGGTGTCCCGCGGCCGGCATGCAGCAATGCAACATACAGCAGCGGTTTTTTTAGCAATCGCATTTCAACAGCTGCGATGACTTGAGCGAGGATTAGGTGGAGGAGAAGAGTAGCTGCTGCAAAGGAGAGAAATGTTCGTGTGTGTCAGGTACAGGCAAAACCTAAGAGAACTACTTCGGTCAGCGTCCCATGTGCCGTACATAACCGTAAAGATTACAAATAATGTGAGGAAGGTTCCGAGAGGTAGGCACGATGGGTGGGTAGGGTAGGGGTAGGGGGAATAGCCCATTATCGTATCTCCGGTGATTTAGTGGGCACTTGTAGGTAGAGGCGCGTTCATGTCGTTCAGGAAATTTAGATGCGAAGATAAATGAATTTGTGGGACTGTAATGCCTGCCAGGCCCGGCAATCAGAGGTGGCCCCAAAGTGACGGGAAACATCGTTGAGGTGTAACGTCGTTGTTGCTGCAGAGTCAGGGTTCTTTGAGAAAGCTGGAATTAGAAAGTTCGCATGTGTAAAGATTGAAAAGAATATCGCCAACCAGGAGGAATTGAACCTCTGGGCCTCCCGGCCCCTACGGATTTGAAGTCCGCACCCAACGCCAGTCAAGGTCAGGTTGGCATCCGCCGAGAATCGATCTCAGAACTAGAAGTAAGCAACCTCTCCGGGGTTAAGACTTAAAATTGTCTTAGCAGCTCATGACAAATTGCTAAAAACTATGTTCTCCATACTGTCGAGGCTGAACTTTTTTTCTTAAGTGGCAGCGAACTTCCAAGCTCAGCCGGGCGCTGTAAGGGCCGGCCACAGTGAAGATCAAAACTCCGGCAGAGGAATTCCAGTTTTCACCATACATATGACTGAGAAAAACCTCGTGGCAAAGTTTAAAAAATAATGCCCCGTGTTGGACAAGGTTGGGCTCGAGAGGCCACATCTTTGATGCAGAACCGAGTAGGCTGTCGTAGACTTGGTAAAGTAACTGGACAGTTTTTTCCCTAGAAGACGGTTACAGAAATAACAGAAGAAGAGCCCAAGGCGAATGGAAGGGGAAGCAAGCTCCCTATATGGGATTCACCTTACAAAACCACCTGCGCCCAGCCATCGCAAAGACACGGATAAGCAAAAAAGAAGAAGCGAGTACAGGTGGACCCCCCGTATTCCGAACACTAGCACTTTGCAAGCTTGCCAAATATTGTAGACAGCGTCATTTTACGGTCTGTAAAGCGGAAATCAATCCGTACATACAATACGCACCCTGAGTCGCGGAATTTCTCTTTTGCGGGATTGCAAGTTATTCTTACAAACGTAGCTCGGGGTCAAATTTGTCCTCTCCAGTAAATCATACCCAAAATCCGATCATCAGTAAACTCGCCGAAACTTAGCCAAAACAGCCTGTGCGGCCCTGCGCATTCATCACTGACATCAACAATCACATATTGGTGGATACGCAAGTCAACTGGACCTTGTCTGGGTGTGTTGGCGGTGAACGACCGCTCGCCATGCCCCAATTCTGTCTGCCTGTCCGCATGTGCATGCGCGCGCCCCCTAGAGCGAATAACATCATCTAAAGGACACACCTGTATCGTGATTGACTTATTCCTTATCATGTTGCCGCAAGACACCACGAACGCGTCAGGACGTTCCAACCCGCACACCTGGCGCCCACCCGCGCCCAACACTGCCCTTGCACCTGCACGCTAAACATCTCCCGCGGCACAGAGGCCGTCACGGCCTAAATGAAACACTGCCTAGTCCTCCTGCTCGTCGTCCTCCTGCTTGTAGTCGGAATTCTCCTGGGGCTCCTCGTCCTTTCAGGTCATCGTCTGTCCACTTTCTGTTAGATTGAGGGTCTTGGCGGGCCTTGTTGTTCGGCTGGGCGGCCTTCGGGCCACGCTTGTGCTTATCCATGTCGGGGATGAAGTCTATAGTACCATTAAAAATTCTTCCGCGCGATTTTCCTATTAAACTATACTATTATGTGATGTCCATGTGATTGGTTTGACGGTGAGTAGGTGGAATGTGGGCAAACGGGCGCTGCTGCTTCCCGCCTAGTTTCGGCGTTTATTCTTGCTGAAAGCGTGAATCGCGCAGACAAGTTTGTAAAGCCAACTCCTTATGTTATAAATAAACGGATCACCTAGGTCTGCGGTCGAGCGGAAGACTTTCACTGACTCAGCAACACCAAATGTCGATGTCCCCGGGGTCGGAAAGCTCCGGAACCACCGGCACTTTTACGACAGATTTGCCATGATAAACACAACGTATATGTTGGATGCATGCTTCCTCGCGACCGGTGGATTTATATCGCGTTCACGGCCGAGTTATTCCCGCTGATTGAAATTCGGATTGATCAGAATTAGGTCGGCCCACCTGTAGTTGTGAGCGCCAAAGTTTTGCGTAACTAGAAGCCAGGCTCGATACCTTGGACGATCTAAGTTCAAAGCCGGAGTTTGGTGATAACTTCAAGCCTAATGAACCTGGGCGATCCAGGGCGATCCAGGTTTTCTTTAGATATGGAGGACTGAACATGGCGGAAGTTGGCACGTGCTACGGACTCTGCCCGTGGACAACTTTATGGGATTATTTAATAATTCTGGAAAGGACTCTCACTGCAAGACGGCGAAGCACGCTCGACGTGCCGCTGCTCAATACGATCTGCTGTACCGCCGTACATGCCGTAGGATATGTCGTGCAACATGTGCTTGCACTGTTGTGTAGAACAGATAGGTGACAAGTTGCGCGAGGCGTAGGTCATTGGCCGTGCGTTTGGCATATGCGAAGCCTGGATGTCTTCGCATTGCCCGCTAGGCTCTGCGTCCGCATGCAAGGAAATTTTAGGAAAACAGGTATCTCGCAAAAGGTTGCTGGCAAGGGTGGCCCTAAAGCAGAAGAGGGGGAGTGGAAGGGGCCTAAGAGCCATACGATGCACCCACAAAATTAGCATGCATTATTTGTTTAGCAAAGGAAAAGCGCCGCAGTCACATTCCTGCTGAGAGCACCTGCCTTACGACAGCAGCCCAGAATGCAGCACAGCCGGCTTTTGGGGGTAGTAAGAACCCGCAGGGACATCAATCAGGGTGTTTAGGGCAGAGGATGCAGTGACGTGTTAAGCATTAAAATTTGTGATGCTTGTGTCCAGCTGGCTATGCAAAAACATGTATTGCCACGTGTAATGTGTGGCTTGACTCTGAATAGCTGTCAGTTATGTCAGTCGGCCGCGAGTGTGACATCCGGCTATTTCCCCTACGGGACGCTCGTCCTGTGCGCAACAGCCGCCCACCATAGGTATACAAATAATTTAAGAGCTGACTCACACACGGCTTGAACAACTGGAGTTGTGCAACTGGTGGCAATCCATGCGGCCGCAGCAAGGCAGGAAATGTCTGTTTCCTGGAGCTGGCCCAGGCACGTTCATATGCTGTATTTCCCTAGTCAATTATTACATGGTTCAATGGTGAATAGATTTGGTTGCATTCGTACATGAGGATATACAGCATAATCTCCATTAAAAAACGCAGGGCGATGGAGGTTCCGGAGCGACGGCAACCCGAGCATGTCGTACTTGTCCATGATCAACGCAAGTCGTCACGCTAACAACTCATAACAGCGTTGTTCTTTTGCCAGAAGCTTCACAACAGGTCGCGCTCGGAATTGTTTAGCCTTGTGTAGGACTTTGAAATTCATAAAAAGCGGGGCAAGCCCTAGCAAACTTCACGATTCGCTAAAATCATATTACAGTGCAGGAAATCAACTACTTACTAAAATGGTTTTACTACTCGTAACGCATGTTGTCGAGGTTCCGTCTTCCCGGGTCCCTTTGGCTGTGATAATTTTGAATGATGCAATAAAGCGGAAGTCGCTGCCATCCAACCTCAAGTGTCGCATGGTGAGGCTCAAGTTATGCTGGCGGAGAAGCTGTGAGCAGCGCGCAGACGGGCCCCGTAATTAAACGTAGGTCATACCGTCGTCCGGAAACTACAGTGCTTCACTATGGGACGCCAACAGTATCGAGGAATTGCAGCAGTGGATTGATGCAAACCTTATGGATGGAATGGCTCATATCGCGGAGGTAGGCCTGTTGCTGCATCTGTTCCTTCTTCGTTCAAGCCGCATAGCCCAGCAAGTCAGCTGTGAGCAAACATGTAAAGCAAAATAAAGGAGGTCGATATCTGCGGCACCTTAAGGAAGAACCCTTGCGGCAACCTTGACAGCGGCATGTTTCGAGCAGTTCGCTTAGGTCAGCGCCAAGGCGTGGCGCCGGGGAGTTTCCGTGAGCCCGGCAGCAAGCCGTGCCTCAGCCTCTTTGTCTCCTTGTTGCTATCTGCTGGCTGCTAGCTCTAAGTCCGTCTTAGAGGCCTTCGCCCTCTCGACGCTAAACGCAACCAGGACGGCAACCCGACTCGTTGCAGGCAGTATGTTGCCCTCCCGCCGCGTGCTAGCTTATGTCCTGAAACCTCATCAGTTGTAATGTTCTGTACATTTACTCCGCTGCCGGGGAATCCTCGCAGGTCCCAGAAGAGTTCACGTACGGCTTGGCTCTTGAGCTCACCACCTCACGGGCAGCAGACAAGGTAGCGTCCTCGTCAGTGCATCGAGCGGTGGCCGTCCTGATGCTCCTGATTGAAGTACAAGCTTATACGCGTTGTGGACGGGTTTTCTTCACAACGCCACGCCGTGCTTTGTATTGCGTCCATGTTTACGCTGCTGCACAGCAAGGCAACTGCAGTGCCGGCTAGCTTAACGTTCAGGAATCTCTACGTTGATCTGGCCCACCCAGCGCGAGTTAGCACGCAACAGCATGCTCCAGTCGCTGTCCCTGATTTGGGTCAGGGCTAGAACGGGGCCGTCTGGGCCATTACTCCCAGCGGCCGGCCATATCGTCATCGTGGCCAAACCTACGTACCTTTCTAATCCAAGATTGCGCTCATTTGCCTTAGACTTGTCTGGTTTATGCTACGCTTGTTTTGACCGGGGGTTTGTGGCCACGGCTTTGTAAGGCCATATCAACATGGTTACGTGCTGCGGTCGTCGGTTGTTCACTATGCCCCTATGTGGTGAACGTACGAGGAGACCTTTGCGAAATGTTGTTCGGCGCACCGAGTCCCTGCTATCCTTGCAGGTGGCCACCAGCGGCAAGAACACGCTGGACCGTCTTAACACGACGGGAGCGCGAGTCATGGAGACCGTCGTGGAGAAGGTGCGAATGTCCAATGCGTCGTTTTAAGTGCTTTGAAGCGATGACAGAGACCTCCGGCGGCGATAGAGCGCACTTGCACAGCTGCATGTGCTTTGGTCCACGTTTGTGTTCTTCGCGATGCAGCATCTCACACAGCATGAACAGCCTACAAGTAGCCTTGACGGGGCGATGGTAGTGAGGAGATGTTGGCAGCTCTGAAGTTGCTGAAAAGCTGCAGGATGGATGGTGTGGTGGCGTTGTACATTAGCCGAAACCTCTAACAAGAGTAACGGGAGGCTCCAGTGTGGCGCCAGTGCAGCCATATCTCATGTTGTCCTTGTAGACGTTTCTTAGGTTTCATGCGCATGTGCCCGCGTCTGGGCCGCCCGGCTTTCAGGTTGCCTGTCCCCTCTAGCTTCTTGCCCCAAATACCTAGCCATCTTCTGCGTGTCACGTCTCTGTCTCAACCCTCTTTTTACACAACCGGGGTTCTCATCGGGGTTGGACGGCTGGATATGTTCGTTGCTGCCATAGCCATTCCCGCCACACGCCCCGTGCTGCCGCTGCTGGTCTTCCGGTTTGTTTTGCCGATTTACTAATTTCATTTGGGTCTTTCGAAAAGGCACTTTTTGTGGTGTTGTTTGGGTCCGTAACACTTCGATGCGTAATTTTCAACCGTCGTCGCTGCCGCAGCTGGATCGTCTTGACCAGCGTACACATCTGATCACTGCTACTCGAGAGGCTACCTCGGCCGCTGTTGGCAAGGTGAAGCAGGCCACGGACAGGGCGCTGGAAAGCGAGGGGGTGCAGAAGTCGCTCGCCAGCATCAGCAATGGGCTGCAGACGGCTAGGTGAGGATGCGTATTACAAGAATGTCCACTTGTTTTGAAGCGATGCCGTGCGGTGACCAAGTTCTAGCTTCTTTTGACCATGTTTCCATGCTTCCCCAAACCCGCCCCGTTTCATCGCCGCCTTCATCATATTGCCACGTGCAGTAAGGGCGTGGGCCGCGCCTTCACCTGGGTCGGTGCCAAAGTGAAGGAGACCTTCCCGGTGGCGCCCGTCCACGGTGCGGCCTATGCCTCCTTCGGAAGCGATGGCGCCGTCGTTTCCTCTCCGCCCGCCTACGAAGGAATGTACGGAACGGAGTCCCCTTTGTACGCGATGCCTGTCAGTACCAACGCTGCGCGTCCCTCAGCTGACGACGCGGGCGTGCTGGGCGCCTCCACGGCGGGTGGCGCGACATGGGGCACCAACGCGGGCAGCACGCCGGCGGAGGAGATGCCGATGCCGCAGTTCACGTAAGTTGCGGTCATCGTTGCAGTGACTGTGGAGCGGTTGAAGATGAGTTGCATGTTTTCGAAGAATGTCCCGCTTACAAGAGCATACGGGCTAAGTATGGTGACCTAGTCCTTACGGGGCGCAGCATGCGCACCACTATGACTGAGGCGCCACCCCTGGCATTGGCCAGGTACCTCTCGGAAATCTGGGAGGCCAGGCACGTCGCGCTGAGGCGCTTCGCCCTGACGCGGACGAGGGAGAATGAAGATGACCTCCCGCGTACCCGCATCAATACCAATACAACGTCCATGGCCCCCCCGGCTTTTACGGACACACCCGCACTTGTGTGCGGAACTTGTAACTTGTAACTTGCCTGGAAGCCTCCCAGTCCCCGGTCTTCTATTATGGCCGTATAGAAAGGCCTACACAAGCTTTCTGCTCTTTATTGCAAGGTTGGACGACGGCACAAGCAGCCCACAACGCTCTCCTGCACAGAGCAGGGGGGGTGCGGACGCGGACGGCGGTCGGGAGAGCACACAGCTCGTAGGGACACAAGAAACGGACTCGGCGGCTGCGTCAGCGCGCTGAGGGCGGGAGGAGCGGGAAGAAGGAAGGGCGCGCGGCAGGGAGGGAGGGGTATGCATGCATGATGATTTTACTGGCCGATGCGCGGTGTTTTGTGCATGAGTACTGATGCAGATGAGGTATGCGGTGAACCGTATGAGGTTGACTATTTCGGGCAGAGGGACCTGCGAGACCGTGCATGGGAGCTCCACGTGCAGGTACGGGCCTAAGCGGATCTTCAGGTTCCAAGAATTGGGTCAATATGGTGCTGAGCGCAGGGACAACAAATCGTGCAGCATACCGTGGCGACCTGTAAAGTGCAGCAGTTTCGTCCATTTCCACATCCGCAAGCAGAAAGGCCGGCCCGGATGGCAGGGTGCGGCAGGTTGGCTTGTAACCTGGCCTGCAGGAGCTTATTGGGCTCTGCAGCTGTGCACGTGGTTCTTGCCAGCGGGCCAAGAGATGCAGTGCGCTTTGGGCATTGGGCTTATTCCCGCCGCATGTTTTGTGGCCGTATCCTGGTATATGGCAGGGGGCTGACAGGCTGTATTTAATGGTGAGAGGGAGGTCTCCCTGCTTGCTTGTGAGCATTTTCGTAGGTGGGCTAGTGCTCTTTACGGGTGCTGTGATGTGGGGGCCGCTTCGAGGGGGGTATAGCTTTTTATCCTGGCTGTTACTGCCGTAGTCTGGGACCTAGCAGTAAGTAGGTATGCAGTATGACATTCCGTGACATATTTAGGTATTCCACGTATACATGGTAACACGATGCTGGCAGGCTGGCAGGCATGCAACTGTTGATTGGGATTGAGTGAATGGTGAATGGCACATGGGGGTTGCTCATCGTGATGGGGTGCTGCAATAGAGAGGGAGAGGCATAGTGAGGATTGACGGCAATTTGGGCAAAATGGGTTCAGGTGCGATGTGCAACCGAGCCTTTGGCGGTGTCAGGGTCAGGCGCGCGGCGACTTTAGAAACGATTCGGCAAGTAGTTATTGCGTAATGCTTTTATCAGGCATGGCGATAGTTACGCGATAGGGTTTTCATCCGGTGGGGGCTTAAGCCGTAGCAGGGCGGATACGACAGATATCAGGACATTTTATTTAAAATTTAAATGTATATAGGCATTCCTCATGTACCCCGCTTGTGCATCCGACTCCCGTTCAGGAACCAGAGGGTGGGTGCCACTCTGTCGTTCGGTGCAAAGCCAGGAGCATCAAACAAGGAGCATACTCGCAATGGTTCAATTTCAGTCGAAGCATCTAAGAGGATACTCCGATACCTTACTACGAAAAAAACTGCAAGGAAGTCGACGTATACCATTTAACGCAATGAACGGGCGACCCTTGCATGTTCTTGATTGTCTGTGGCTGTGCCATGCGATCGTTGCGTTCCCCCTGCATCCCGCACACATCTCTTCTCTCGCGCGGAGCGAATCACGATTAAGCCCAGCTATCATATCCCGACTAGCGGAAGCAACCCTACCACTGAAAGATGCACATTCGCCATCGCACGGAGAGTTGCAGCACGCGGCACAAAACAAGATGTGCAAAAACAATGTACAACATGCCAGCGGGGGCCCAGATTTGGCCAATGAGCAATGGCACTTATGTGTTTCCTGCACATAACAGCATTTCTACATGTTGCGAGCAACCCTTGGAGCCAAATAATCCCTCGCGCGATTTTGCAAGTTAAACCGGACAGGTGAAGCTTCAATGGGAAGGGCTAAGAATTCCTTGTCCTCCGTTGAAGGACCCCTTTTACAGGAACCTAGGAACCCCTCGCCACACAAAGGCAACGCTCTGCAAGGTAATAGGTTCATGATGGCATCAAGCCACGGCCGTGCACTGAATGGCGTGCAGCTAGTCCCCGACGCGGTTGGCGGCGGGTGGGAAATGTATGACGGCTCGCTTTTTGGCGAGCAGGCAGATGCGCGAGAGGGGCTGCCCTGCTGAGCTGAATGCAGGGAAACACTACGGAGACATATCTCTTCAATTTTTTTTGACAAACATGCAATGTGGGCTCGTAAAGCCTGATGCCTCGTAGCATCGGCCCGGTCAGGGCCCCCGGTGCTCGTCCTTTTCTCGGGGCGAGCCGCCTACAGTGTAACACCCCAACAACAACTCTCCCAACGCGACCATCTGAACTGTGCTTCAGCAGCCGTGCAGCAACAGTATGTGCTTGTAAGGCAGAAAGATGCTGCTTACGTTAAACAGCATACCTTGGCCCCCACTACGGCCGCACCTTGCGGTCCTGCAAACCGCAGCAAAGGCTCGCCAAAATGCCATGTTCGATGCTGCTTCCTAACGCACACTGCAACAGGTGTACGATTCCCGACCCGACTGGTTTGCTTTCTCCCCAGGCGAACATGCACACAAGAACGACCGCCAAAAAGAGTAGTATATATGTGAATAGACCGAACAAGAGGCAACGTGTCGACGTCGCGACGAATAGGATTGCCGTGTGACGTGCCTTGCTCATAGGCAGGTATGGCTGTGCATTATGGCCCCCTTAAGCTGCCTTCCGGCGCTCCGAAACCGCTTCCTCGCCGCGGGTCACCCCCGCTTCCCTTCGCCAAGGGGCCCCGCGACATTCATCTAGGCATGCTCTAAGGAATGTACAATATGTACAATATGTACGGCAATCTTACATCACCAAAGAGAGGCTTCGCCCTCGTCAGCGCAATACCTACCATGTTCCTGCAGACGGTAACAGCGCCAAGTCGCCAATCCTGATGCGCCACGTTACCGCATACCGCTAGTCCTGCCCGCCAGCAGCACCTTCCGGTGTGTCGGCCATTCCGCGCGACGCCCTGACCCCGATCTGGCCGCCTTGAGGTCCGCTCGCGGCCACCTCTGCCGCCGCCACGGCCGCCGCCACTGCGGCATGCTCCATAAGGCCCCGCACCTTACATCCAAGCTCAGCCTGAACCTCCTCGGCTGACGCCATGCGGTACGGCATCGGCAGCGGCTGCACGTCACCGAAGCTGTTGCCGTACCGCCTGGCGACACTGCCGTTGCGGCTGTACGGCTGTGGCGGGGCGGTGGCTGACCTGTCCTGTGGCGGCTGTGGCGGCAGCTGCAATTGCTGCAAGCTCGCCGCCAAGTCGGCTTGCGCCGTGCTGCATTGCATGACACCGGCCTCAGCCACTTCCAGACGCTGCTCTACAATGCCCATTCCGCGCTGCAGCTGCGCCAGGGCAGCACGCAGCTCCGCGTTCCAGGCGGCGGCTGCGGCGGCTGTGCCGCCGCCGTCACCGCCGCCACGGCTGCTGACGCTGTCGCTAACACCACCAGCAGCACCAACGATGTGCCTGCCGTGATGGGTCCAAGCGTTGAGCCTTTGCCCAGGAGCCATAAGGCCAATGGGAGGCCCTTGAGGTACGGCATGCCATCCCACCGCCGCCGGCGCCGCCGCCGCGCCGCCACCGCTCTCCCACAGCTCCCTGCCGCTGCCGTACACATCACCGGCGTCACCGCCAATGCGCGCACGCGCAGAGAAGGAAGACCGCAGCCCGAGCGACGCGATGCCCCTGGAGAATGCAAAGGAATTGCCGTCGCCGCCGCTGCCGCCGGCTGCCGCATCTCCCACCGCCGTACGAATCCGGAAGTCCAGTTGCGTCACGGACTCGCGTAGCTCATCCTTGGTCACCCGCATCCTCAGCGCCTTGCCTACCTTGGACACGAGCTCCTGAAGCGATGCTTCAACCTCGCTAATTCGCGTCAGCGCTGCGTCCAGAACGCTTACACGGCTAGCGCTGACGCCGTACAGCGTAGCGGCGGCGGTGCCGCCGCCGTCGGTGCCAATGATGACATCCTCGCCGTCCGGCTGGATACGGAAGCCGACGTCGCGCACGGCGAGGCGATGGCGGCTGGGTGGCAGCAAGGCCGGCGGCACATCTGGCGGATGTGATTCGCGTTCCTCCTCCTCCTCTTCAGCTTCGACCTCTTGAAAACCCTCCTCAGCTGATCGCTCCTCATCCGTGCGTTCCTGTTGTTGCTGATGATGGTAATTTTGCCGCTGCTGCCGCTGCCGCTGCTGCATTTCCGGAACTACAGCCGCTGGCGCTGCCGCTGATGCAGCGGCAGCAGCGCCAGGTAGGTGTGAGCTGAACCGCGGCGGCTCCGTCGGCCAGATCTCCGATCGGAGGGGAGAATGCAGTCCACCCATACGGCCAGCGGCGGCGGCGGCGGCGGCGGTGGAGGAGCAACTGCCGCCGGTAGACCTGCTGCGTCGCGACACCCCGCCGCCGCTGCCGCCCCCTCGCGGCGTCGCCCTCGTGCCGGTCGCTGCCGTATCCACGACATCGAGCGCCGCCGCCGCGGTTCGCTCTGCCGCCGCAGCCGCCTTGGATGCCTTGCATGCGCTGGCGACGGCGGCGGCGGCCGTTGCCTGCGCGGCCTGTACTTGCTCCAGAACCGCCTGTATCTCCGCCATGCAAGAGAAAGCCTGCGCCCGCGCGCTTGTGACCTCCAAGGCCATGTCCTGAACCTGCCGCGACAGCGCCAGCAGCCGCTCCTGCTGCCACCCCGAAGCTTCGGTTGTCGCCGCCGCTGCCGCCGCTGGCACGTCTGCTTGCTGGGATGCGGCTGGCAGCGGCGCCCGATTGTCACTGTTGCCGCCGTTGCCGTGCAATGGCTCTGCTGACGCTGCGGCCGCTGCCGTCGGCGAGCACTCGACCACAGGGAGCCAAGGCGCCGCCGCTACAACGGCGGCCTCCTGCCGGCCCTCCTTGTGCATCGCCGCCGCAGCTGCAGCTGCCGCCGCCACAGTCACCGGCTTCTCCGAAACAAACCTGGGTCCCAGCGGATTCTCCTCCACTTCCTTCTTCTTCTCCTCCTCCTCTTCCTTCTCCTCCTCCTTTTCCTTTTCCTTTTCCTTTTCCTTCTCCTCCTCATCGCCATTCGCAAGGAGCTCGATACGGGAAGCGGCAGCACGCGGCCCGGTAATGTCGTCGATGCCGCCAACGCAATCTGCGTTTTCTTGGGCGACAGCCGCCTGGCCCGCGGCCTCGTGCCCGCCCTCTCCTGGCCAGTTCCTTACCATCTCCTCCTGCTGTTGCAGGTGCATGTGCTGATGCTGCTGTAACAGCAGCTGCTGTTGCACCTGCCGCAGGTTCTCCTCGCAGTTCCGCACCCGGGAATCCAGTAGCTCCAGCTCTTGTGTAGTGGCATGTGGCGCCGGCGGCAACTTGTGCTCTCGCTGCTGGTGCTGGTGCTGCTGCTGCGAGTGGTTCTCCGCCACGGGTTCGACCAACGCCGTCGCGGCAGCGTTGGCAGTGGCGGCAGCGTCGGCAGTGGCGGCAGTGGCGGCAGCGTCGGCAGTGGCGGCAGTGGCGGCAGTGGCGGCAGTGGCGGCAGCGTCGGCAGTGGCGTCGCCGTCGGACTTCACGGCGGGGATCTTTGCTCTTGTGGTGGATGTGGATGTATTAGCGGTAGTTGTGCAGCTGATGCTCTTTAGCTCTTCCAGCCGACCCGCCAGACCCCGAACCTGATCCTCCACGGCGTGAAGTCGCTCCATTGCCACCGCGGCTGCTGTAGCGGCTGCAGCAGCGGCCGTGGCGGCTCCAGACAAAGCTTGGCGATCGTCCGGAGCAACAGATGGCGGTGCCTCTGCCGCTGCCGACCCCGCCGCAGCTTCACATAGCAGGCCAGCCGGCAGAGCGAGCTTTCTGGGCTTTAACCGCTGTGAAGCGGTGGCTGATGCGATGGCGGCGATGGCGCCGCCGCCGCCGCCGCCGCCGCCGCTACCTCTACCGCTGTGCTGCCTGGCTGCTGTTGCTGCCACCAAGCCCAGTGCGAGGCCCATTGCCGTGGCAAAGGCTGCACTCGCCGCCTCGGCATTACAAGACGTACGACTCACTGCTTTCTCATCAAGTTCACAACGCGAAGGCGAAGGCGGCGGTCTCTTAGAGTCCCCGCCGGCGCCGTCGCCGCTGGCGCTTGCGGCAGGAATCGTCAAGGATTCTGCTGGTGGTGTCGATGGAAGCGGCACCGCTGCCGCCGCCGCCGCCGCCGCAGCAGCAGCAGCGGCGGAGGCGGTCGCGGCAACGTCACTGACTGCGGCGGTCAGCCGTTTCATCTGCAGCTCCAGAACGGAAAGTCTTTCGTCGTTCGTACGCTCCGAAACCGACGCCATAGAGGCGCCACAGCAGCTGACGCCACTGTAACTGGTGGCACCGCGCACGGATGCCCCCCAGGGACCAGCGGCGCTAGGGCCACCGCTGAGGCTTGTTGAGTCACCGCTGACGGCGCCTGGTGCGCTATTACGGGTGCTCACAGGCCAGCTGTAGCCGCTGCCAGCGTCCGATATGCTGTACGGCATGCGTGGCGACATCTCGGCCACACGGCGCTGTAGCTCACCCACAGCCGCCGCTACCTCATACAGCAGGGACATCTGCTTTACGTCGCCACCGCCGCTGCCGCCGCCGCCACCACCGGCAGCAGCCGGTGATAGCCCTTCCATGTCCATTGCCCCCATAACCGGTACGGCAGCAGAAAGCTGCTCGTCCAGTCTTGGATTCTCCGGCTGGCACAAACGCTCCGGAGATTCCTCGAGGTTGCAGTTGGCCTGCAGCCAAATTGGATGCCATGGTCAAAATTACAGCGGTACGGTAATCTGTTGTACACACCTGGAACTTAGACCCTAAAAAGCAGACCGAAAAACGCAGACCGCACCTAACGCAGAACGGAACCCCCTAACCTAAATCAAAATACCAAAAAGCATAAACCAAAAGGCAGACACCAAAGCGGCGCCCACCTGGCGACCACAGGAGGCAGTTCGTGTTGCCGGCGGTTGGCTCGGGGGCCCCGCATGAGCCAGCTGCGTGCGCATCACCCTGGGGGACATCAGCCCGCCCGCATGGGTTCCCGGGGTGCAGAGGTCCTCCGGAAGTGGCAGCGCCGATAAGGGCAGCTGCTGAAAGGGGAGTATGCATCATCATCATCATCATCATCATCATCATCATCATCATCATCATCACACAGGCAGGGAGGGAAGGGGAAAAAGGGGAGTTAAGAAGGGGGACTACTGTTAGGGTCAGGAGGCGTCCGGACCGCGGGCTGCGGGATGCGGGGAGAGGAGGAGATTTCTCGCCGACGTGTCATATGATGTGTGCCGAGGCAGCTGACGCGCAGCTGGTGCAGTGCGTGTTGTCGTGCCAGGCAGCTGGTCAACGGTGCTCTTTGCCCAGCCAAAAATGAAAAATTGGCCAGCAGGTCTCCGCCCCGTCAAGCGCTGCTATAATATAATCCCACTTTTACTAGCAGTAGGCAGCGCGCTCCATACAGGGGTCCCAGCCAAGCCCCCGTCAGCCCCCCCCTCAGCCCAGCCTGCCTAAACACCCGTGATTTGCTGTCACACCTGCAATGGCGGCCTGGGCTGCATCGTGCCCCCAGGCGAACCAGGCGCATCCAAGAGTGGCGTACTTGTACGGCAGTACGGCGCCACTGTGCTCGTACTGTGGGAGAGTGAGCGAGCACTGGGGGTCGCGGTGCCTGCACGGCCGGTTCGTGACACCTCCGCGAGGTTGGGACTTGCGCTCCGCCTCGCACCAGCGGGCCGCCCGTTCGGAGGCGCTATCGTTATTGTGTTGGGGGCAGCTCCGCGCCGGCTCCGCGTGCCCAGAGGCGTGATGGCGGGCGGCGGCGGCAACGGCAGCGGCAGCGGCAGCGGGATTGACATGTCCACCGGTGTGCTACCCGCGGCGGTACTTGACGCGTCAGCGGCAGGGCACAGAGGTACGTGTACGGCGGGGACAATGGGGATATTAATTGTGTTGGCCGCGGTGTTGCCGGCAGCGAGTTCCCAGGGGACCGGCGTTGCGTGGGCAGGGAGTCCGTCAGCAGAGGAGTTGGGCCCGGCACCCCCACCGCCGCCAACACTGCTGCTGCCAGGAGCGGAAGCATGGTGGAAGCGGCCGGAGCTAGATCCCACATCGCCGCTACCCACGGCCACGGCCTGCAGCGGTTGCATGTTGCGGACTGGCAACAAGCCTAGTGGTTGGGGGCCCGTGTGCTGCGGGGCACGGCGGGAAGGGCTGCGGCTGGGGCCGCTGCCAACAGCAGGCAGCACGGTGGGCCCAGGTGCGCCGTCACCGCCGACGGCACCGGCGGCAGCGGCGGCCACGGCAACGAGTTGAGCACCTCCCTGAGTCCCATCACAGCTTTGGCCGCGGCTGACGGGAGGCGGATGGGCCGGGGTACGTCGCGTTTCTGAAACGACGCTCGGCAGTATGCCTGCAGAAGTGTATGAGCCTGGAGTTAATTAATCTGGGTTGCAAAAAAAACAAGTCATCGAAAGTAAAGGTTGGATGAAGAGGGGTTGTACTATGGGTACCGGACTCGAACAGGTCAGGCTGTCCCGCCACAGAAATGCCGACAAAGTATCGCGTTCGAAGCCGATAACGCGCGCTTGCAACGATGAATCTGTTCATAGATATTCGGCTTGGCATAAAAGATACATGTTAAGTTATGTACCAATCAGCTGGTTGTCGTCTATAGGTCCGGTGTGCGCAGTCCGCCTTCCCCAGACCGGCAACGTTTCCTCGAGGGATGAAGTGCGCAGCATAAAACTAATGAGCATACCATTATGTTTGTTGCTTCAACATTTAAAAACGTTTGTCCACTTGCCTGGCGACCTCTCTTGTCGCATTCCTCTCACAAATCCTTCCTGTAAGGTCGAAGGAAGGTCGGCACGGTCGGCCAAAAATGGGCCACGAGCGCCCAGAAGTTACTAAGCCTCCGATGCTACTCCTGTGACTTTACGTAGTCTGCGCCGTGCATTACCAACCCGGTGGGGCTCAACACACAGCGAGGTGTAGTGAAGCCCAGAAGCTGAATTCCTAGCTGATACACTAGATAGCGTGATGTCTTTGTCTGGGGTAGGATTGGGCCTCTTCTGCGGGCGAGGCTAGACTCCATATCTGTGAGTCCGTCGATTGCGTTGTCCTTACAGATGCAGGCGACGCCAGAAATGATTCGATAAAGTAAGGGGATACTTCTGGTCGGTTGTCCTGACGGATTGCTCTGGCAGCTGTGCTGTTGGGTTGCTTCTTACTCCTGCTGCACAGCTAGTTCTATTACATCTACAATTGCGATGTAAACAATCGTTAAAAGCATTGGCATGTAAGTCTGCATATGATTTCATTTGGTAGGTTAACTCTCGGAACGAGTCTTGTAGTCGGCATGGTGTACTGGCAGTACGCGACAGCGCGAGGTGGCAGATGCGCACAACGCGTGTTCTTAAGTAAACAAGCTATATCTAAGCATTAGATTGTACTCATCAATAGCTTTTGACTCGACAGCTAAGTCGCCTACGCAGGGATCACGATGTCGTGGATGGGGCATGGTTACGTACCGCTAAAAATTTGCGGCTCTTTCGTATGAGGCTGAGCTTCATATATCTGTGTAAAGCTTAATTAACAACCGGTAAGAAGAGCATGCTGCATGAAAGAGCCTTTCAACGCCGCCGCTAAAGTTAAATGTTGCTGACGAGGTCAGCAACCTAGCTTCAGCGCCCGCCCAGGAGTACCTACCTTTTGTGCAAAACAAAACATTTGCACAACAAATTCGCCCGGTGCGGAACACATGATCAAATACCTCGTCTACGCGCCTGCCTGCGGAGCTGTCCTTTGGTTCCCTAACCTGTCCCCCTTCTTGTTCCTTTTATGGACGTGCGGAGAGAATTCGGTGGCAGCGAACCCAGGCGAGCTGAGCTGCAACCTGGACCTGTTGTCTAAGACTCTTTCCTCGGAGGAAAGCAGTTCCCTCCTGCGAGCTTTTCGTTAGAGCTAGCAATTGGCCTCTGCGTGCTGTTAAGAGTCAAAATACCAGTGTCCGCTTCCGTGCAGGCGGCATCGGGTACCATTGATTGACACACGTGCGCGCGCGCGCGCGCGCGCGTGCGTGTGTGTGTGTGTGTGTGTGTGTGTGTGTGTGTGTGTGTGTGTAATTAATAAGTCGTGTTATGTGGGTTGCAATTGCAACTTTCTCGTCTCTTTGACTGACTCCGATGTCGGGCGGATGGCCATGATGGGTCATTAAGTGGACGCCCCTGCCGTGGTGATGGTCTGCCGCCGCCGCCGGGCATGTAGATTTGAACAATTGGGGCTTGGACTTGATGCGCAAACTGCAGGCATCTTTTAGGGGACGAAAATATTTCAAAGCAACACTTTTAGTGGCAGTTTAGACTCATCTTTGTGGTTGGTCCCGTAGCACCTTTCATAGGTGGGATAGCAATTGGACCTCCCCACGAACAGACGAAACCAGGCGAACGTTGTCTCCCCAATTGGCTAGGCCATCATGGCCTAGCCAATGGGATGATCCCTCCTCCTGCACGCATCCACAGCTCTGCCTGCGTCACTACCTGCTAGTTAGCGCGCTCCGCGACATTTTCCGTGCTTTATCCTTTCCCGCCCAAATCCATACAGGGGCGCGTTTATGACATCATTGCGAAAAGATCAGCTTCAGAGTGTTGAGGAGTTGTCGGAGCTGTCGAAGCTGATGGCCCTTTTGGGGGAAAGGGCACAAAGCTGTGGAAAGCCAATCCACAGCGCTATATGTTTTCGAGTTGACCTGCAAAACCTTAAAACAAGGTTTCCGCAAAGAACTGAGTACTGTCCCATTCGATAAGGCCCTGAATGTCATCATTTGCCTGCGCCAGCCGCTCGACGCGATTTGGAAGCTTTTGCCTGAATGCCCCCAAAGAAAGCCATATGTCCTTACGTCGCCGCCACCATGCGCCCCGTAAACAACTGTACCACCTACTACTTTTATCACCACAACCATAAACAGTTTAAACCGTACTGCCTTAGCTCTGCACGTGCACGCGTCAAGGGTCCCCGCTTCCGCCCCTCCTAACCGAAATCCAACCGAAACCCACAAAAATCATCCCTGCACACGCCTCCCACTGTGATTGCCATGATAACAAAGCCACTAGCCCTGAGGCTCCTCCTCCTTCGGTGCTTCGGCCGCCCGCGCCGCCTCCGCTGCTTTACCCGCGGCGGCGGCAGCTGCTGCAGATGCCGCCGCGGCCGCCGCAGTCTCACCCTTGGCCTCAAGCTCTCTAGCAAACGCCTCCAAGCGCGCTTGCTCCTCTTCCGGTGTTTCCTTGGGCTGCGGAGGATCAACATCCAGCACACGAGAATCATCCAGCAGCATAAGCGAGTCATAAACTATGAAAAACATCACCAGTGCATTGCGGCAAAAAGGTCAAAGGGCAGGGCACGCGGGCAGGACTTGGGAGTTCTACGTAACTTTCCACCAGCGAGCGCAAGAACCCCCGCACCAGGGCCCCGCGCGGGCGAGCAGACCATCATCATGACCTGGCCAGCAAGGAGCCCCCTTTCCTCCCTTTTGTTCTCCCTCGACTGGGCACCACTGCCACCACCATCATCAGGATCATGATGCTCATGATCAGGCACTCGTCTGGTGTGCCACCAACAAGTACGACCGCCCCTGGGTCGCCCGGCTGGGCAAAACTGCACACCTTTTTTGAGTTTGCATGCCTTGCGCACACAATGCAAAATGCTCTTCTCAAATGGTGCTACAAACGGTCAAGGGCCAAACCGCCATTTGGCGCAACAGTGGAGACACGCACCGCAGGGGCGCAACAACCGAAGGCGACCCAGTAGGGTGATGTATTACGAGTTCTGCCTGAGTACTTTTTGCGGGGCGGAGCACTTTAGAAAACGCGCGCGTGCATGTCGCCACCATACCTTGACGTTATAGTTGGTGAACCCGTCCCACATAAACGCGTGCAGCTGTCGGCCGCCGAAGTACCTGACGGGGCCGCATTCGGGGCCGGGGGCCGGGTTCGAGTTCGGTTTCGGGACACAGGGGTCGCGAACAGCTCACGTCGCGAAAACACAAACACACGCACGCACGCACGCGCGCGCGCGGGCAGCCAGGCAATCACTGTAAAAAAACAGGGGGCCAATCCCCCCACCCCGGCCGGCCGGCCAGTCACCTACCTGCCGTTCATGAGCGCGACGCACTGGTGCGCTGCCTCAGGCGTGCGGAAGCGCACCGTCACAATGCCTTGCGGGTTGTGCTTGAAGATGCGGACCTTTTCAATGGTACCCAACTTGGTGCACTCGGCACGGACGTCCTGCTCAAGCTCCTCTATAACGGAAGCAACAGCAGCGGCAGTAGCAACAACAGTAGCAGTAGCAACAACAGCGGCAGTAGCAACAACAGTAGCAGCAACCGGAGTAGTAGCAGCCATGGCAGCAGCAGCGGAGCAAGGCATCAGTCGCAGTAGCAACAGCACAGAGAGAGCAACAGCAGCAGAGGCAGCAGCAGCAGCAACGAAGGCAGGAACACAAAAAAATCGCGCAGATGAGAATGCGGCAAGGCAGTGCAGCATTGCGCGCAGCGCGGTGCAGCAAAACTGCAAATCAAAACTGGAAAGAGGGCCGAAGGCACGAAGAAGGCACGAAGCGGTTCAATTCAATTCCTTAGGGCAAAAAAAACGTTCGACAGACAGACACTTGGGGAACAACAATAACAACAACAAGACAAGAAAAGTATTACGAGCGCACACCTGCCAGCAGCATGTTTTCCAAAAAGTCGTCGGTTGCAAACATATTGCTGAGCACTGCTGTCGTCTTCTCCGGCGGCGCCTTGTCGTCGAAGCCACCCCAGCCCAGAGCTCGTTGCTCCAGCTGCGCCAGCTGCTTCTTCTTCTCCTTCTTGTTGGAGACCTTGACGCGAACCCAGGGGGGGACCAAACATCAATCGGAAGAAAAAAATTAAAAAAAGAGAACGATTTAACCTAGCGAAACGAGCCAAGAACATGCCGCTACCCGCACGCCAACCCCCTCCCACTCCCGTAAGTCAACCCTATCTGGAAGTGGGCACACGACCGCGCCACGGCCGCGCAGCAGCCAATCCCACATGCCGCCAAACTGCACCCGCTCGTCGGCCGTTCTAATCCCACACGCCCTCCGCTTCCAATCCAACCCTCTCCTGGAGTCCATCAACGCCTGAAGAGCCCAGGAGGAGGGCCCGAGTGCCCCCTGATTGGTACGACACCTCGCGGATACCTACCTTGGGCTTGTAGGTCTCGCCCTTCATCTCAAACTTGGCTGGCTCCACCGTCATCAACGGCCCAGAACCCGGCCTAAGAAGGAGCGCAGGGACGCGAGCGCGCGCGCGCGCGAGAGAGAGAGAGCAAGAGAGCAAGAGAGAACGCAAGCGAGGAGGTAAAAAGGTGGCAGCGACAGCGACAGCCAAGCGGCAGCAGCAACGCAATCGCAATCGTAAGCAATAGTAGCAGCTGCGACCGACGCAATCCTGCTGTGGTGTGCGCTGCCACCGGTGCGGACCAGTGACGGCGGTAAGGAAGCGAGAGCGGCCTCACGGCTAGCGTGGCAGCTAAGAGGACGCATTGGAGCATTAGCATTAGCGCTAAGAGGCCGCCGACCGTGGCCGCGGACGGTGAAGGCCCCCCGGCCCCCGGACAGCTACATCCTGGGTGTCGGTGTCGGTGTCGGACCACACGGTCGGGGCTCTGGGAGCCTGGAAGAGGTGGACACGGCCGCCCAGGCGCAGGCCAGGACTCCAGGAAGGGGCGCACCTGACGCACAGCTCAAGAGAGACTCGCCAGGACCTATGCCAGGCATGGGAAGGGGGGTTTACTTGGCCCTTTCACCCCGAAGTGGAAAGCGACAAACCTGAACTGCGATTGATGTAGGAAGCGGCAGGCCAGCTCAACGGAAGGCTCCTGGGCACAGGCAGAGATACATACAGGATGCGTGGACGAGCGAGTCAGGTCGGCAAGCCAGATGGGAGGGTCACGAAGGGGAAACGTAGGGACAAGATTCCTTAATGGAATGGATTCCTTAGATTCCTCTACCGAACAGAACACCATGCGGCTGTCTTTTTAAAGCGTTTTCTTAGACGCGAGGGCAGTGCGCAAGTGGGGTCGTGAGCGCGTGTATTGAGAGTAAGCTCGTTGGTGGCTGAGCTGGGCTGAAAAAGAGAGACAGAGACAGAGAGAGAGAGAGAGAGATAGTGGCAACACCAAGCTCCGAGGCAACAACACCAGCACTTCAAACTCGTTCCGTTAACTCCTTCCAGGTTAATAAAAAAGGTTATAAAAACAACGAACAGCGCAACGCCAGCGTCCCAGTGGGCGAGGAACCACCAGCTGCAATCACCTCCTCTGTAGCGGTAGCAGGGGGGGTGGTATTAACGAGTGCGGCCCGTCGTCCAAGGCGCCAGGAGCAGAGCTACCCAATCGCCGTACACCACCACGCCATCAGCTCACCTTGAGGTACGACACCAGTGCATCGCCCTTAAGAAGCCCCGTGGCCTTGTCCCTGCGCGCGCGCGATCGTGTGTGTGTGTGTGTAGGGTGGTGGGTGTAGGGTGTTAGTGGTGGGGTGTGGGTCGTGTGGACTTTATTGCAAGAAGCCAACGGTCAACCGCTAACAACTACCGTTAGCTGGAGTACGTGTGATAGTCCGCAGGATCCGGTAGGCAGATGGGAGGGCCCCTCTCGGAGGTCAGTACAAGTTTCGATCACCTCTAGGGGGGTCCCTCCCAGGAAAACAACAACAACAACAACAACAACAACAGCAGCAACAGCAACAGCAACGTTCACGTCGACCCCGTCGTTTGACGACGGCGAGACCACCCAGCCACCCAGCTAATCAATCATCCGTCCGAAATCACCCGTTTGTAAAGCCCCCTCACCCATTTACCCACTTGTACAGCTTTATCCGCGGATGCCCCTTCTCATCCACTTTGACAATCCCACACTTGCTGAACACCTCATTGATCTCCTGGACGGTCACATCTAGCGGTAAGCCCGTCACGTACACGTTGGTGTTAATCTGAATGGGGCGGGCAGGGTCAGATCAGGGGTCAGATCAGGGGTCAGGGCAGGGCAGGGCAGGGGTCAGGGCAGGGCAGGGGAGGGTTGGGATGGCTGGGCAGGGTTCAGGAAACGGCAACGGGAAAGGGGCGAATAAGCGGCTCTGGAAAGGCGCCAAACCACACCACATCACAAGATAGGGTTAAGAAAGCGCGGGTCAGGTCGGGGGTCGGGTCGGGGTTGCTGGAACAGTGCACAGACCGTGGCGCGCCGGGTCTTCATCAAAGGAGGGAAGTGGGGGACCAGGTCTTCGACCAGGTCCGTCCTTAAGAAAGTCGTCATTCATCGGGGAATGGGGAAGGCAGGGCCGGGGTAGGAGGAGGAGTCGGGCACCTGGGGCCTGGAACGCGAGATTCTTGGAGGGGAAAGAGGCTGGGAAGAGCGCAGGCTGCTGGAGTAGGGAAGTTCAGGAGGAGGTTCAGGGTTCGAATCCGGGCAGGTTCCGGTCCGGAACTGAAAGACACAGACGATCAGTGGAGTGGCGGTAGTTTGCCGCGGTCGTTTGGTATAGCGGAGTTGGTGTTGTTGGTGTTGGTGGTCACACCTTGAGATCGAACCAGTTCGACTGCTTGTCGTCTTTCTTGCCGCCGCCCTTATTGGCTTTTTTGCTCTTGCTCGCCGCCGCGCCATCCTCCTCCCCGCCGTCGTCGCCACCGTTGCCACTCGTGGCCCCCTCCTCCCCTTCCGCCGGCCGCTTCGTCCCTCTACCAGCCGCGGCGCCCTGCGCATCTTTCCTCTTGTCAGCCGCTGCTGCTGCTGCTGCGGAGGCGGCGGCGGCCTTGCCAGCCCCGTCAGCACCATTTGCTGTTGCTGCGGCAACGGAGATGTCGCCTTTGGGGTCGCTGGTGCTCGCGCCTTGCCCGGCTTTCTGCCGGACACGGGTGCGGGGTACCGGGAGCGGGAGATGACATACAAAAGTCAACAAAAAGGGGGATTTACGAGGGACGGACACGACGTGGTCGTCAACAAAATGCGCGCAACTTAGCTAGCTCAGGTGGCCAAGGTAGCTAAAATAGCAGCTGCGGAAATCCCTCAAAAAGAGCGAGCAAACCAGACAAGAAATTTGGGGTTGGAAAGCGAGTGAGAAAACGCTTACATGAGACATACATACAAAACAAACAGACAGACAGACAGACAACAAAAGGAAGACGTGGAAGTAAGGTGTGCCGGCAGGGCGTGGAGGGAAAAGGTACCGCAGGCACCCAGCAAACCAAGCTCATGTGTATCCCACCCCGGTTCACCAAACCCTCCGAATGCTACCCTAAGGTGACAAGTGCCGCACGAGTGCGGGGGTGTCCGTAAAAGCCGTGTATGTATGTATATATGTAAGTAAGTATGTATACAAGTTACAAGTGCCGCACGAGTGCGGGGGTGTCCGTCAAAGCCGGGGAAGCGCCTGGGGGCCCGGCCACCTCCGTCCCCCCCCGCCTAAAACCCAACTCCACAGGCACGAACCTTCCGTTCCCGCTTCTGGGCCTCATCCGCCTGAGCCTCCGCCTCCGCTGCCCGCGCCTCCGCCAAGGAGGGAATCACCTCCTCCTCGGGCTGTACGACACGGGTATGACGGCAGGGGTATATACGACACAGAGCGGCTGGTAGTGACGGCGTCGTGGGGACTTCGGGAGGAATTTCCCCTAGGGCGCTGAGTGCATGTTGTAGGTAGGGTATGAGGTGGAGAAGTGAAATGTACAACGCCGTGCATGGGTTATGGAGGATTTGATCGGGTATCAAGGCAGCGGTCGCTCTCTCTCTCTCTCTCTCTCTCTCTCTCTCTCTTTCTTTCTCCCTCCCCTCTGTGTGTGAGTGTGGCTTGGTGGTGCTGGGACATGACAGCCTCGTCCACGGCTTACAAGCCGCCTAACCGCCAGCTCATTTTCCCCCCAGCCGGCCAGTAATAAGCCGCCGCCGCCGCGCTGTAACCCACCACCATCGTCCATCAGCTCCGTACCTGGTACGTCATCGCGTCAATGTCGTATCCGATGTCCTCCGGTGCCGGCGCGGCCTTGTCGGGCAGATGCCCTTCCTTGGGCATGTACTTCCGCAGCCTGTAACAGGAATTGTCGATATACATCACCACCGTCAAACCAACACCAGCACCAGTACCAGCACCGTCAAACCAACACCAGCACCGCCACCGTCGCAACCGCCAATCGGCCACAAGTCAGCTAAACAGGCACGCAGGCAGACGGACGGACATACTGAGAGGCAGGCGGACAGGTTCCATTAAAGACCCCCAAAAGAATATACTTCCCTGCAGGGCCCTGCTCCGCAAGTGCATGCATTGGGAGGCCTTTGACCTCCCCCTCCCCCTGCCCCTGGCCCTCCCCCCCTCCCCCTCCCTGCCCCTCCCCCTCCCCGCCCCTCCCCCTCCCCCTCTCCCTCTGCCCCTCCCCCTCTCCCTCTCTCTCCCCCTCCCCCTGCCCCTCTCCCTCCCCCTCTCCCTCTCCTTGCCCCTCCCCCTCCCCCTCCCCCTCCCGACCTAGACCCACCTCTTATCCCACACATACACCGTCCCGTCATCATCCTCAAACTCCAGCTCCTCGGGGGTATCCGGCGCATCAACTGGCCTTGAACCCGCCCCCTCGTCGCCGCCGTCGGCATTTGCAACCCCAACCTGCACACCCCCAGGCAGGCAGACAGGAGGGTACGGCAAAACGGTCTCACGCCGTGCCATTGGCCGCCAGTACACGGCTGCGCAAGGCTCGCCCACCCACCCAGCCGCACACCCAGCTCCCCACATGTCTGTCCCACAAACACACCCCACAACCCCCGGGGGGTTTAGCCGTCGGCAGTTGGCCCTCGACACCTGGCTCCTAACGTGGTCAGTTCACATACCCCTGTTCATAATCTCCACCCCATCCCCCATCCCCCAACCAACCAACCAAAACACACACATACACACAGACTGACACGCACTTTTACACACCTTGGCCGCCTTCTCCGCCCTCATGGCTGCCAGCTCCGCGTCCAGCGCCTCCAGCTCGGTGCCTGGGGCCATGGCCCGCCTGGGCCGGGTCGGGAGGGTGGGTGGGAAGGGGCAGGGGCGGACGCCGCGGGGGGAGGGGGGCCAAGGGGAGAAAATGGGAGAAGAGATTGGGATGAAAAAACGAAACACGGGCGTCTGGGGGTGTGGTAAGCAGAGGAATATAGATGGGGGAAAAACCTGTGTGGGTGGTCTGGACCGGCGCACAGCTATCCCTCAGTCGTCCTCCGGTCTGCGACACCCTGCTGGGATGGTGTTGGTGGTGGTGGTGGTGTTGGAGGTGTTGCTGGTGGTGGTGGTGGAGGTGCAGGTGGAGGTGAGGGGCGCTGTGGGAGAACATAGAAGAGGAGCTGCTGTAGTCCTACGTGCTCCACACGCCGTCGACGCTGCATGGGCCCGCAGCCCGTATCTGCGCGTTCCCCCCATACTCCATCCCCATAACCCTGACCCGCTTCTTCCGGCCTCCCCCCTTCAAACACATACACACACACCCCACTCGTTTAGATAGACCTTGCCCGGATATGGACCCCTGGCAATTGATGCAAACCCGTACCCACCTACCCCCACAGCTGCCCACTCAGCCCCACCTTACCTGGCCTTCTTGGGCCTGCCATCGCCCTCGTCCGCGTCCGTCAGGTATTTCAGATCGTCTGTTTCCCGAAGCTTCTTCCATTCCGTCCGGCCCTCGCACCAGACGTGCGAGTCGCCTGTTAGGTATCCGTCGTCCAGCAAGCCTACGCCATGCGGACGAGGACCCGGAGGGATATGGCGAGATGCGGGATAGGGGAAGAGGGGGGAGTCGTCGAAAGGGCGTATAGAGGATGGGGAGGGCTTCGGGAAGGGATGGGATCCTGGCAATTGCCGACCCAAGGGTCCCACACGGGCGGGTGGGAGCCAAAAGGGCGCGGAATGTGAGGGCAACCATGGCCGGTGGAAGATGCCGTCTGGGCTGTATGTAGGATGATCAGCCTGGGACAGCTGCCGGGTGTGCGGGTGTGCTGGAAATAGGCAGAGGGGATCGTGGGGTACGATGGTCCGTCCACGGGCCCTTCAGGTTGGTTGTGCAAGCGATGTGCGGCACTACAGCGTGTGTGTAGGAATACGTGTCTGAAGCGCTAAGAAAAGGTTCTGCCAGGGCGCCGGGTGGGCTGGGTGTGTGACGCCAGCTAACGAGGCATGGCGCCGAATTGCGTGCGAGCTTTTAGGTCTGCCCAGGCAAAGCCCGTCGCTTGGACCAATTTCCTGATGAGCAACTCCCGAATATCCAATGTTGCAAAGGAGGTGCCATTTAGTGTACTTGCCCATACGCCGCGCATACTGGAGCCAGCCATTACCTTTCAGCGCTGGCTCGCTGTATGGTCCAACTGGCGCCCCGCCTGTGGGATTTGCTACCCACCAACCGCTGCTCATTCCTGGGAGAGGCTTTGTCCTCCGTTGTCAGGTGCTTATTGACGCTGAAGAAAAAATTGTTTCCATAAAGTACTGAAACCTTCAGTAGTAAAAAAATTAAACTACTCTAGGAAGGTCTTGGGCTGGCAGTTTGAGTGGGAGTTTCGCACGTAGTTTCCGTGCGATCCAGTGACAACGAAGGTGAAGGGCAGCGTCAGGCTCGCACACGAATAGCAAACTAGTCTACACGATTGATATGTCGTTTTTTAAAAATGTTATGCAAATACAGACGCTAAAACATCGGCGTGCTGTCTTCTGTCATAGACACAAAAACAAGTCAACGACCGATCACGATAGTTCACCATGCTGACTCAACATGAAACAATAATCAGACACTAGCTGATCAGGAAGCACCATGCCACTGCCTCCAGGCCTTGCCCGTGCCATTACAGACTCCACCAGCCCCGCTGAGGCTTACCCGCCGGCTGAGGTTTTGAGAAAGTTAGAGGTACGTGTTGGTACAAACATGTTGTGGACCTGTAAGTAGTTGTGACATGCGTGCTAGCCCCGAACTACCCTCAGTACAACTGCTTTCTCCTGCTCCAAGCAGCAGGTTGAAACAGACCAAGCATTCTAAGCCGTTGATTTGCCTGTAAACGATGATGCGCTGATCTGGGTTGCTGGGGACCACAGTTATCCCTTCCTCCAGTTATCCCCGGCGCACGGCTCCTGAGCTACCCGAAGCTGCCTCGTGCACGTTGCTGATCGCGTGCGTGTGGCTGGGAAAGCCCATTAGGTTTCTTCGTAAAGCTTGTCTGATAGTAGATACCTTTACGCACGCCCCTGCGATCGCGATGCCCTGCCGCACCCACTTTGTCGCTACACCTGGCCGCAACCTGCCGTCGCTACCGCCCGCGCACACCTTACATTGAACGAAACATATTACCCGCCACGTTTTCTCAGCGCATCTGTCTTAACTACCGCATACGATATCCCTGGCTTGCATCCCCGAAGGTGTACCTCGCAGACCCTCGAAGCACGGACGCGGTGTACGAAGGACTTGTGAACCGGGCATGCGCGCAACCACTCAAGTATGTCCCCCGGTGTTGTTGTCGGTCGAGCCTGGGCGCGTACTTATCGCCTCATTGCTGACCTGCTTTTCGTGCATGTAATATGGGGCCCGTTTGCTGCATGACGTGATGCACATTAGTTGGCAGAAAACCTCGGCATGCTGTGTGTAGCGCCACGCAACGCAACGCAACGCGTTTTGCTTATGACGTTGCGTTTTGCCGCTAGCCAAGCACGGACAATAAAAGTCACCGACCCATTGAATCACAGACCCTACTATGATGCAGCTGCATGCTTACAGCTATACGGTTGGAGAACCACAAAGTGGCTGTTTTTTTCGGCCGCAACCCCACCCCGCCGCTGCTGTGCCTGCTTTCAAATCCTGTCAAATCTTTCTTGCCCTATGCGCCAGCTCCCTTCTATCGCCTTCCTATCCCCCCCCATCTTTGATGCAACGCGGCCTGACAGAAAAAACGTTGAATAGCGAAAGGGCGAGCTTTTCCCTTCCGCCGAAATGCACCCGCACTTTAGACCCGTATGCCGGCGTGTGTGTATAGTGTGCGCTCGGGGTATGCTGCGGCGACTGGTGCGTTGTATTGATATCATGGTCTTGGTGTTATGCCGCAACCTGCCCTGCTCCGCTCCCTCGTAGCGCACCGCTAGTGGAGAAGGTGGTGGCCCTGCTCAAGGCGTACCTGCTGAAGTGGGTGGTTGGTTGGGGAAGCGCGTGGTTGGGGTTTGGGGGCCCTCCTCTCCTTCCTCCCGAGCGTTCGAAGTGCCTTGGCTGCGCAACCCTCGGCTTGCCTCTTCGTGTTGCCCTTGTATTGTGTTGCCCTTGTATTGTGTTGCCCTTTGCATTGTAGGGATGCTCTGTGCCATGCTTGTCTTTCTTCATCTCGCCTATTCCGCAACTTGCTGCGCCGTCCTTCCTTCCTTCCTTTTGTTGCCACCCGTCAGGTACAAGCCGTCCCAGGATGTCACGCACGGGCTTGCCGAGTTCGCCGCCAGGGTGGGCGAACTGCCGAGGCTGTCTTCGGCAGGTGAGGAGGAGGTGCTGAGGGGCAAAAGACGCACGACAAGGCGATGGCGACGGCGCGCTGCGAAACTTGAAGAAAGGCGGTATATTAAAGGGAGGACAAAGCCACTCTGCGCTCTCTGTGCGCAATGCGCCTTGGCTATGCGACAGAGCAATGGAGCACGATCGCTTGCCACATCCTGATCGATTTGTCGGCGGTCGTCACACCTCTACTACGATTGCGTGTATCCGTATGGCGTGCTTAGCTTATTGCGCAAGGCCGCCCATGCCCACCGCACCTACCCCCCGGTTTGCAGCCCTCGCGCCTGCTTGGTCCTCGTTGTTGCTTTTTAGTAGTGCATTGGCGCCTTCACACGCCATCGCTCTGGGAACACACGGCCCCAAACCCTCGTCCTCTCCGTGCTGTAGGGCGCAAGGGGGTGGCATACGTGCGGTCGTGCCTGCGGGAGCTCAGCGCGGCCGGTGGCCGCACATTCTGGTGCGTGGCTTCTCTGTAAAGCAAAGATGTAGAAAGCTTGCTGGCGCGGCGTACAGAGGGATGGATAACGCCCTTCAGGCGTCGTGCAGATGTCTGTTGTGACTGTGAGGTGCCGGGTAGCTGTGTAGTAAACAACAAGCCTAGCATAGCCAGCAGGCTATGCTATGCTATGCTATGCGTGCTATGGACAGGTCCGTGCGTGGGTTGTTGCTGTGTGCGCTGAGGTGCACTGTGTGTGCGCTGAGGTGTGCACTGCAAAGCTGTCTTTTAGCCGCACGTGTAGGGTGTTGCTCATAGAATTGCGGCAGCGGCAGCGGCGGTGACGGCTGCTACAGGCTGGAGGCTCCTGAGTTAACAAGTTACAAGTGCCGCACGAGTGCCGGAAGGGGGGGGGTCCGAGCACTACTTAACAGAGCACTTCCAGGGGAGGGCATAGGGTGCTTATTATATGTATGCTGGGTACCTGTCGCCGCAGTGACGCTATTGATAGATATCAAACCGCTTTTACTACCACTGCGCTCTGGTTGTGTGGTGCTGAATGGTTTTGGTACCCCGAAAGTGATGGAAGGCGCTGGATAATGGTTTGTCTTCATCTCTTCACGCCTTCCCTTGTGCGCGTTGCTCTAGAAGGCAAAACCTATCTGCTTCATCTTTCTGGTCTGGACGCTTTCCCGCTTACCCCCCGTGTTGGGCTTTTGTATGGTCTGGAAGCTTTCCCGCTACCCCCCGTGTTGGGCTTTTCGCTCCTGCAGGGGCAGCAGCGTTAGCAGCTCTTTGGGCACTGCAGGCGTTGCAGGCGGGCGGCCTCGGGAGGACTTGCCGCGGCTGGCGACGAATGGCCTCACGCAGGGTGAGTCGCAGAGGGTAACAGCAGCAAAAGCCCGGATGGGGGAACCAGAGACCTTCGGACGAGAGGGAGCTCCCTCTGAGGTGGATGGAGCCAAGGGGATGATGAGGTGGGGGTATACATGGTAGACCGCAGAGCATATGGAGTAGGGAGGTTCAGAGAGATTCGTGTGGCCGTGCGCGCGTGGCATGCAGTATGGCGGATGAGGGTGTGGGGCGGATGAGGATGTCCTAAACTGGGAATGAGGATTTGACAAGATTTTTGAATGAGCAATGAGGCCATCTGAATGGTGGTCTTGGTCTTGGTCTGCGTCCTGCGATTTGGCTGGCTTTGATGCGTATGGTATCGTGCAGGCTTAGGGGTACCCGTGGGTGGGTGCTGACGTGTAGAGTGCTGGGCCGCTGCTCTGGGTTTTGCGTTGTGATGGGGCAGGAAATGGGCCAAAGAGGTAGATGCCTGCGCGCCGCACGACCTAAAGCAAACCGCTTTAACTGACTTGACAAGGAGTAGCGTAAAATATTAACCTAAAATGATGAATGTAATGTCTTAAATGTTAAGACATTACATGCTAAAATGATGAATGTCT